ACCGAGGAGTCCTCGGCGTAGCTGGCGATGTCCGAGCACCGAAGAATGCATGGTGCTCTAAAGAAAAAAGAAAAAGGTTTTTTTCCTGATCAAGTGTGCCCACTTGTATTTCTGAAAAAAATGTAAGTGACCCTTGTACATGAGTAGTCATGGCCAACAGTCAGAGCGTAGGGGTCGAAAAAATAAGCACATTCACCACAAGGTGAAGTGTGCCCACTTAGTCCCCGAGCCTGGTAGTAGGTGACGTAGGCACGTGGTGTCAGGGTCTAAAAAAAAGAATTCCCAGTTAAGTTGAGAATCCAATCATCGTACAAGCGATACGAGCTGCACCGGCAGGTGCATCGTACTGATGTAGTCCCCGAGCTTGCTGGAAGGTGAGGTATCAGCCTTGTAGCAAGGTCTAAGTGAGAAAAAAATATCCCAACTGTATGCGAGTCGTCAGTCGCATGTAGTCGAGTCGCGAAGTCCCCGAGCTGTGGTCGGAGAGTGGTCGAGGCAGTCCCCGAGCACAGGTCGAGGAGCGAGCGACGAAGTCCCCGTGCGTAGCTTGAAATTCCTGTAATATAAATATGTAGAATGATAGTACATGATGTATAAAATAATAAATTATGGAGAAAAAATCAACGGTGAAGAAATAGCGTATGACGCTCAGCAGTCATTTACGAATGAGCATGATGTGATAAAGCAGTTGGTGCTCTGTAAACATCAGTGTTAATATGAAGTTTGTGTTTATACTTAATATAAACTGCCCGACCAGTTAGTATGTAGCTGAGTCTCTAGCCCTAACTAGCCCGTTAACCATAACACGGGGCGCGGAGCCCGTGCACGTGTAGGAAGAACAAAGCGTCGCTAAGGAGCCGCTGCCGACCACCCATAACGCAGAGGGCAGACGCTCGTGCACGTGTAGGGAGAAGCCGAAGACAGGGCCATTTCTGGAGACATCGAGCGTCAACATGACTGGTCGAGGATTTGCATTAAGTATAGCTGTATGTTATATTTAAGATGGTATACATAGACAAACGTTATTCGAAGAATAATCATGACGAGAATGTTGTGGAGAAACGTCATAATGAAAATTATATTAAATATAAATATTAGAAGTGTACTTATCTTTGGATAGAAATCTGGTTGATGGCGATAAAGTTGTCCGGTCCTCGTGCTTTTCGGCCTCTTGTGACGGTGGTCGCGGTTGTCATAGCACCGTTCTTCGTGGCGATCATCATTGCGACGTGGTCTGGTGGTCGAGGTGGTCGGAGCTCGACGGAGCCGCTCGAGACGTGGTCGACGTGGTCTGTGGTCGACGTGGTCAAAGCTCAGCGAAGCTGCTCGAGACGTGGTCGACGTGGTTCGTGGTCGACGTGGCTGCTCGATTAGTTCGGTGGTCGGAGGTTATGTACCTAGTTCCATCGCATGGGGAGGCAAAAGCCCTCGGGCATGTCCAGCCGAGGTCGGGCGCAGTCGGAGATCTTCCTTGCTTGCGTGAAGGTTACGGAGCAGCCCGATGGCGGTTTAGTAGATTGTATGTGGTCTTCATATTTGGAGTCGGAGAAGCACACGGAGTCCTTCCAGGTTGTCGCTGTACATTGTGTATGAATACATACATAACATGAACACCCATAGTTGGCCCACTTGCTTGTACTCCGTCTTCTTGCATGGTTGCTTGACGTCATCTTCATCATGCATGTAATGCAAATCTGGTGTCGTAGCTCCATGTGGATGCCGCGTGGAGACCAAAAAAAACCAGACGCTTGAGTCGAAACGGGACCATCTACGCCACTGGGTCGGATAGAGATCGATCCGATCGACTCTTGTGATATGTCATAGATGTTAGGGCTGTTGCTTGTCTTAGTGCACCGTTACTTCTTGATACTCCTCAATCCGAACCATGTTGACGAAGTTGCGTGGCTTTGGCCGAGGTCGATGTATAAAACACAGATCCGAGCAGCGTTGTATATTGTACGCGTAGTTGGAAGCAGTGTTTCGCAGGCCGTAGGGCTGAGCCTGGTAATTCTCCATCAAGGCTTCGCACTCGGAGAGCCGGAGACCCGTTGCGGGGGCTGGTCGGCGACGAACGGAGCGCCCTTCAGGAGTAGACGTGACCACGAGATCCGTACCAAGTCGTGCAGGACGACTGGCCCAAGCTGGTCGGGTAGATCTGTTGTGGGTAGTGGTTACCTGCTTGGTAGATTGATTTTGAATCGAATCTACCAGAACTAGGGTTTCAGCAAGCTTGGTGCCGACCCGATCGTTGGAGTCGAGCAGGTCGGTGTTGTCGATCTGCCTCCCTTTGTAGCGAGGAAGCGGACGACGGGTTGTCGGCGTGGCTGAAGACGACGCTGGTGTGGCCGGAGCCAGATCCAACGTGGTCGGAGCAGTAGCCGATGCCGGTGAAGCAGGGGTCGACGCAGATTGGATTTGCGCCTCCTCCGTGGTCATGACGATGAAGTTGTCGGAGCCAGTGGTCCAGGTGATCTGGCCGATGGTGAACGTGAGGTCGTTCGGCGTAGCCATGGAGCCGGGGATGATGACCATCTTGTTCGTCTGGGGAGCAGTACGCACACCCCCTACCTGGCGCGCCACTGTCAACGAAATATGGTCGGTAGTCTACCTAGGGGTATGCCCAAGGTAGTAGACTATCGGCAGACAGGTGCGTAAGCTACGAACGAGATGATGACGCAAGACAGACACGAGGTTTTATCCAGGTTCGGCCGCCGTGAAGGCGTAATACCTACGTCCTGCGTCTAATTGTATTGCTGTATGTCAATGAGATTATTTGATCGAGCCCCCGACTAGGGGACCCCTGTCTCTCCTTATATACTCTGGAGGGGCAGGGTTACAAGTAAAGTAGCCTATTTGGTACTATACAATGTCTTGCGATGCACGCCGAGCAGCGCCGTGCACGCCTTGATCTTGTGGGCTGGGCCACCTCTGATGGTGCGGCCCATGTCTTGTCTTGAGGATACCGGGAGCCATACCCCCACACAACAGAAAGAATATCGAGTTTGAATGCAATATTTAAGGTAGTAACAATAACCACAATGGGTCTACACAAGCTCGCGAGTACAGTCTTTTTCTCCGAATACATAAATTATTGGATTCGTATACTCTGATCTTGTTACTGAATGTCTTGGCTCTAAACTGCACATTCAGAACATTTAGTTGTGAAACTTTGGTTCACATTCCAGACATTACAATTTTTTCTGTTGTCTACCAATACACTGATCTTGTTATAAATATTTAACTATTTCAACACTTGCAGAACCACAATATGTTGCCTTGTGCTTAACTGTATCACCGATTTTACTAGTTCCCTTCAAATTCAGTGGCATTGGAGTTGCGACACCCAAATGTTGATGCACCGTAGCGGAATGCAGGACAGCAGGAGCAAGACTACTGACAACGGCATTGGAATGAGAATAGGTCGCACTTCTGTTGTTCTGATAGCATTAAAAAACTCAGGAACACCTCTTGTTTTTTGTTTTGATGTGGTCTGCTGACTTGACGTGGTTTGAATCGGCGTATCAAGATTCAGAACTTACAATGGGTGAGAGCGTTATGTGGAAATAATGTTTGAACAATGCTGCACAGTTTCATTGGTTGTAATTGGCATTTTCATCCCCAATAGGTGATAACAAGAATAAATGTTCCCCTCTGAAAAACAAAAGATGGATCATAGTGTTATACTGATGATAGTAGAAATTGTAACCTGCCTACCGTTTGCTTTAGCTTAGATTTCATATACTTTTATGTAGTTTTGAATATACATTATTGGCTAGTTACTACATCTAGTATCATCTTCTTGGATTTTTGCACTGGGTTCTTAATAGTTATTTTAGTCATTTAGTCTTCAACATGTATATCGTTTTTGGGTTTCTACACGTGCTTCAGGAAATGTTATGCTTTGTTTGGTTATAGGAGCTAGGACTAATATGAAACAAGCTACAGATAAACAGTGAATGAATTACATGATTTTGTTGTGTTTACATTTTATCTTGCATATTAGTACTTTTGTATATGCTAAAAATAATTGAATATAGAAATAAATGGATGTGGTTGTTACGTTGTCAATTCAGAAAAAAATACACTACTTTGTTCATTGTCTAGAAATTTCAATTTTTTTATTTAATGACTTCTTCTAAACTGCTGCTTCACTATTTTACTTGTTCGTGGTCTAGAACGATTGCAGTGGAGAGAACGCAGGGGAGACAACAGAGAAACACGAGAATTGGGATTAGAGCGGAGGGGATATTGACCGAACAACCTCTGGAGATCCAAGGCGTGTCGATCAAAGGAGAACCCCCCACCCTAGGAAAGTTCTTCACTCGATAAGTTCTCCCTAATACAAACTATAAAGCCTTTATAGATGAGGCTTTCCTGGAATTATAAAATAACTCAATCTAATTGAATCTAAATATATCTCCTATTTTGAGCTTCATTTTGGGCCCATCTGGAGCTGGGATGGCCCAAATAAGGTCCCAAATAAGCCCATGATGATATGGTCCTTAATTTGTGTGGTCCTGGCCCATGTTCCATCATGATGATTCATGGCCTACAGATTGTTGATAAATTGGGCGGAAATGTTGGATAGAAAATCAAAATGAATCTCGTGTTAAGTTGAAACGTTTAAACTGCAGGCAGCACGAAGAGGAGAGATTTGAGCAAAGCGTCAATCACAAGTGTTGTCTCCTCTCCCAAGAGAACAATTTCAAACTTGTACAAGTCTCAAGGTCTTGTCAAAAGGTGTCTTTTCTTCTTTTGAAAAGAAAAGAAAACGTCTCCAATTTTGGGAATAAAACAAAACAAAACAAAAAAACGGTTCTTGATGTAAGTGTCGCAGCAGGAAACTGGGCGTGCTACGACTTGCTTGTGTATCTATCCAGTATGATCGATCCCTCAGCGACTGCTGACGAACCGCGCTGTGTAAAAAAACTTGCAGACTGATGACTGCAACAAGCAAGCACATTGATGAGTGTCAGTCAGGTGAGAGACGCGCCGATCGATCATCTGTCCATGTTGATATCGATCCCGATGTTCATCCCGTTGTACGCGATGGGCGCATACATCCACGTGTCGTCAGAGCTCAGGAGCTACAGGATCATAAGAAGAACAAGGAGCTGTTAGCGGGATGAGTTGACGACGCGGCACTGAGATGAGATGAAATCAGATTCTGCACGCAGATCCTCACCCTGATCTGGAGCTGCAGGAACTTCACGTAGTGGACTGCCTCCTCAAGCATGGTGCTGATGTCCACCTTGGTCCCGTTGGGCACCAGGTTCTGCAGGATCTTCAGCCTCTCGTTGATCCTTTCCCTCCTCTTCTGCAAAACCAAAGAAAAGAGCAGCAACGGTCCATGTCAGGTTCAGTTACAACGAGGAGTGATCGATGCATCATCATTTCATCAACAGAACAGGAGGATGATCATATGCAGTAAGTACCCTTGCATAGATGCTCTGGGGTTCAGTCGTGGCGCCACGGCCTGCCCGGCCCTTGCCTTTGGGACGACAAGCATCAGCATCTGCATCTGCAGACTCCAGAGAGGCATTTGAATCGCTGTCAGAAGTGCAGCAGCTGGTCGGGCTTCCATTTGGGATGGCCATGCTGGAGTCTTCGTCTCCACTCTTCTTGGCCTTCTTGGCACGCTTAGCTTCACCAACATTCCGCGCGCATTTCCGGCCCTGCATTTACACGATTTCAAACAGCCAGCATTTGCATTAGAAATCTGAGCGATTAGCTATCTATGGTATGAAGAACATCACTGGTCAAAAGAAATCTGATCACCAAGACTTACTCTCGTTTGGGTTTGGCCATCGTGCTCTTCTACCATGTGCTTCCTCTTGCTTTTGTTTGTAGTGGCACTTACTGAGCCAAGCATACTGACGTTCATCGGATCATCCAGATCTCACAGCTCGGATCACCATTCCCATAACCGTTGAAGGAATGGTTTGCAATCACATTCAGGTACTCAGCTGCACCAAGCTCCTCCTGCACCGAGCCCAGGGCACCTGGTGCAGTGCAGGAGCTTCTCCCAAGGGCCTCATTTGAGTTACTCAAAAAATAGTAGCCCTCACATGCAGGTGGCACAACAAGGCTACTGTCACTGTATGCACTGGAAGCTTGATCAGACCAAGGCAGCAGCTCATGTTGGCGTTCCTCCCCATGGGAGGGGAAGGCACCTAGCAGCTGCGCCATCACCTCCGATGACTCCTCACCATGCGACAGGAAGTCGAACTCGGTCCAACCGACCTCGGTGATCAGCCCTCCAACCTCCATTGTGATGTGCAATGAGGCCTAGAGGTCAGAGGTGATCGTGTTGTGTGTAGGTGTTGGTGTCTGAGATGCTAGCTCGCTTGATGAAGACTACTGCACAAAGTGCAGGTGCTTTTATACTGTTCAGAAATCAGAATTCAGAAATGTTGCTAGAGGCAGGAGCATAATCTTCAAATTTAAAAAATGTGACTATGATTAAAGAAATGGAGGTCCACGGTTGGGATGAAGTAGTTTATGGACATAAGTTAACGACTGGAATCAACCAAGGTAAGGTATGTCCTGGGGAATTTGAAGGTTAATTACAAGATCAGAAAACTTCAACTGCTAGCTGGTAGACAAGACAGTGACTTATCCAAGATTACAGTGCCGTGGCCTGTCTGCTGTGGAGGAGGTTCAATGATTGGGGACACTTCACTAATCATTTGCCTCATCAAGGGCTGTGACAGGAAGTCTATGATCTCTGAATAAGGACAGGGTTTACCTCAAAAGATAGAATAGAATAAAAGAGTGATCCTGGTTGGGGGAGATGGAATAAAGAAAACAGGATATGCAAAGAGAGGCTTGCACGAACATGGTGGAGGGACTCTGAACATTCTTTACAAACTGAAGGAGATATGCTAACGCCTCTCTGCTGATATAGAGGAATGATACATTCATTCTTTCAATGTAGAATGTACCGACGTCCTTCTGCGGAACTCGCAAAGCCTCAATCATTTTCTCCTTGCAAAGGGGGGAAAAGGAGTCCAGATCAAGGCTACATTCGAAACAAAGGGCCAATCCAGTGAAAATTTTCTGAACTAGACTTACATAGAGATAAGCCTGTGCCTAGCTTGAGTCTCATTCCATGCAGTTCTAAATGCAATTTAGACCACATCAGTATACAGGGAAAAAAAACTGAACAAAATACAAAGATGCTGTATAAAATGCCACCTTTGTAAAGGTCAAACAGGGCACCAGCCGCAGCAAGATTACCAAAGGCCTTCAGAAAACTCAATCAGATTTTAAATTCAGATTATGGCACATTTTGTGAATCGAAGAGCATGTGCATCATCAAAATGGAGGCCACAATTGCGTTCAGAAAAAAATGGAGGCCACAATGTAGGTTTTCACATAAGGTGCCAGGTTTCCACAATGCCCGACAAATCTGAAAATGCTGGAGATCCGCTGCTGATATCCTCATCAGCAAACAAGTGATCTGCATCCATCTAGCAATTAAGAGCTGCACATGACTCAGATCCACCATGCATGGTGCACAAATCAACTGTACTTCTGGCATGTCCTCAAAAGGGTCCTCTTGCCTCTCCTTGTCAAACAGCAACAGCTAAGATGCTGGGAAGGAAAATGATTCCAAGGGAACAAGATGGAGTTTGTTTATTGCCATGATTCTTACCCTTTAGCTGTACGAAAGAAGCGATGCCTGCAATGTTATGCGGCAAACTGCACGGGTATGCATTATAAATTATAAAATACCTAAACAACCAACAACATATCAATAATAGCATAGAAATGAAGAACATAATATATGATCATTACCTATTAAGCACTTAAGTTTATTTTCTGACTTTGCAAAGTTCAACTTCAAGAAGCATGGGAAGGCCAAATTGCTTGTGGCGTCACTCCTTTGGAGATCATAAAAGATATTCTGTTCATAACCTGTAAACTAATCGCACAAACTGGCACCAATACATTATGCCAGCCGATAGCCTTGCTCTGTTGTGCTTTCCTGAAGAACAGCTGCATTTTATGATGAGTACGTTTGCTTTCACGAAATAACTATATCGAGCTATGATATTTCAAACATTTTATTTTGTTTTTCTCATCACACATTACTTCTACTTCAAATATACATTTGTTTGTTTTTCTCACCACACATTATTACTAAGCGAACTAAGATTTATGTCACATTCATTGACAACATTAATGAGGAATTGTTTTTAGCTTTGATTGTACCTATTTGACTTACACAATCGCTAATATGTTATCATAATCAGAAGCCAAGTCCTACAATGTTGTATCTTATAAAGTTAACATAAAAAACAATGGCATCGAGCAAAAATCATGTGAAGGTAACCAGTAATAGCTCTACAGAGTAAACTAAACTAGTAGCGCACAGACTTTTCCTGTGACTTAACTATGTAACTTCAGGGAGAAAAAAGAAAGCATGCATTGATAATTTGGGCAAGAATGTATCACTAACATTGGCGTGTCTTATATTTTGTAAAAAACAATGTGGGGAATAAGCGTTGTGTTGGAACTATGCGTTCTCATTTTGTATTCACCTTCCTTCCTAATTGAGAGAGAACAAACAGATGCAAATTGCGGGGTCAAGAAAAAATGCACCTCACATGAAAATTGCAGGAACCAGAACAAAGTCACATTAGTTCATGAAAACCACGTGTATAACTAGTCACACAGCCAAGTGAAGTCAACTACATGAAAGAATGGAACCATGCAGTTAAAAGTCTACCATACACCTATAGGTTCAGCTGGTCTTCTCATTAAACAACAACAACGACGACGACGAAGCCTTTAAGTCTCAAACAAGTTGGGGTAGGCTAGAGTTGAAACCCAGCAGAAGCAATCAAGGTTCAGGCACGTGAATAGCTGTTTTCCAAATACTCCTATCTAAGGTTAAGTCTTTGGGTATATTCCATCCTTTCAAGTCTCATTTTATTGCCTCTATCTAAGTCAACTTCGGTCTTCCTCTGCCTCTCTTCACGTTACTATCCTGGCTTAGGATTCCACTACGCACCGATGCCTCTGGAGGTCTCCGTTGGACATGTCCAAACCATCTCAACCGATGTTGGACAAGCTTTTCTTCAATTGGTGCTACCCCTAATCTATCATGTATATCATCGTTCCGAACTCGATCTCTTCTTGTATGACCGCAAATCCAACGCAGCATACGCATTTCCGCGACACTTATCTGTTGAACATGTCGTCTCTTCGTAGGCCAACATTCTGCACCATACAACATAGCAGGTCTAATCGTCGTCCGATAAAACTTGCTTTTTAGCTTATGTGGTACCCTTTTGTCACATAGGACACCAGATGCTTGGCGCCACTTCATCCACCTAGCTTTGATTCTATGGCTAACATCTTCATCAATATCCCCGTCTCTCTGTAGCATTGATCCTAAATATCGAAAGATATCCTTCCTAGGCACTACTTGACCTTCTAAACTAATATCTTCCTCCTCCCGAGTAGTAGTGCCGAAGATATCCCCAAAAGATACCTCTATATTTTAACTGATGGAGGAGTCATGATGCTTAGAGAGTAAAAAGTGAGAATTTCTGCATGGTTTCATCAAAATGACACCATTTTGGTCACCAGTAGAAACACACATGAAAAAGGGAACATACATGGAGAGAGATTTCACAGGGATGGATAGGCATTCAGAACTATAAAACAAAGAAATATCAATATTTGATCAACCTAATAAAACAAACAGATCACACTCACCCCACTGATCATAAATACACAGAAAAAAAACACTTAGAATGAGCATCATCAGCTAATGCAAGGCAAAGAAGTCAAAGTAAACAGATTGACTACCAAAAGATAATGGAACAAACTAGAAGTCAAAGATCATACAAATAGAGTTCATAGTCAAACATAAAGATAATAGATGATTGAGGAAACATTTCCTGAATCCATAACAATATTCATGTCAAATATGACTCAGGAAAAGCATCATTAACCAGATTGTTCAGAAGAAAGCAACAAGAATTAATTTAAAAACTAAAAGCTGGTAGGCAGATAGCCTTGTTCTCTAAAAAACCTATTTCAGGAAATAATGCAGTACTCTAGGGTTTACTTAAGGAAATAATGATACTTTTAATAAAGCATACAAACTAATAGACCTATTTCAGGTCACATAACTATTAGCAGAGTCCACCAAGAACACCTTAATACAGACATAGGAAGAACACTCCAGTTGTAGCAATGATGCATAGGTAGGACAGCAAATAGCCAAATCTTTCACTGCCATGAAAGCATATGCACTGCTTAGAATAAAATGCTTGAAGTAAATATAGTTTGTCAAGATTCAGAATCCTTCTCAGTTATGCAAAGTCTTCACGTGTTCAATTCTGTCTAAGGGGATTCCAAAGGTTCTGATAGACAATAGCCTAACAGGCTTAGATTACTTGAAGATGGAGATTACAGGAGGATTACATATATAGAGAGGAGGAGGATGGCCCAAGGGGTCAGCCGAGTCCCCAAGAGTCAAACCGAGACCCAAGGGGCCAGCTGGGTATTAACCTGGCACAGGAAACTAGATTACACAAGTAACTAGGTGATTACACTAAATAACAATTAATTCTAACACCCCCCGCAGTCGGAGCGTCGGTGGAACGGACGTTCAGACTGGAACGAAAATCCATGAAGACGGAGGAGGGGAGGCCCTTGGTGAAGACGTCGGCGAACTGCGATGTGGTGGGTACATGAAGAACACGGACAGCACCCATGGCGACCCGTTCACGGACGAAGTGGAGGTCGATTTCCACGTGCTTGGTGCGTTGATGTTGCACGGGGTTGGAGGAGAGGTAAATGGCGCTAACATTGTCGCAGTAGACAAGACAGGCGGAGTCCAGGGGATGGTGAATCTCCTTGAGCAGCTGCCGCAGCCAAATGACCTCAGCGACGCCGGGAGACGGTGGACTGCCGCTTGGAGGACTAGGAGATCAGGCTGTCCCCGAGAAAGACTGCATAGCCGGAGGTGGAGCGGCTGGTGTCCGGGCAGCCTACCCAATCAGCGTCAGTGTACACACACGAAGTCGTGTTGGAGCTGTCTGCGGGGATAATGACCGGACCATGACCGAGGGAACCATGGAGATAGCGAAGAATCCTTTTGGCAGCGACAAGATGAACTTCACATGGAGCATGCATATGAAGGCATACTTGTTGAACGGCGTAAGCAATGTCCGGCCTGGTGAAAGTGAGATACTGGAGGGCGCCCACAAGGTTGCGGTAGTTGGTGGGGTCAGCAACAGGGGGGCCGG